CCAAGGAGATGCTGCCGCCGCACATGTGCAGGTGTGGGGGCACACTCTCCTCCAGATATTCAAGTCCTGCAGTAGTTCTCTGTAGCTGTGCTGACAGTGGCCCAATCCTGCCATAGAGTGTTAGCCCCGTCCTACTCGGGCCCTCTTCTGCTTCTTTGCTAATATGAGACTCTCCAACGCTTAACTGGTGATGGTGGAAAGTGCTATCAAATCACGGCTGACTTGCGATGACCCCGCAGGGCTTTCAAGGCCAGAGATGTTCTGTTTATTCGTTGCCGCACTATGGAGGGTCCATGATAGGAGCATCAGCGGATCCTACAAGAAATAAGCAACCTTTTCGCTCGTGTCCCAGCCTAGCTCTCTTCTTGTGTCCTTAATGGAGCAACTGGCAGCCTCCTGAAAATGCCGTGTCTTTGTGTATGTGTCTGCTGTCCAGGGTTGCCATCCTCCAGGTGCTGCCTGGAGTCCTCTTGGAATTACAGCTGAGCGCCGGACAACAGAGGTCCGTTCCCCTGGAGAAAATGGGCTGCTTTGGAGGGTGGGCTGCACGGCTGCCGTCCTCTGCTGAGGTCCCTCCGCTCCCCAGGCTCTGCCCCCAAATCTCCAGGAATTTCCCAACCTGGAATTGGCAAACCCTATCACTGCCCAGTTGTTATACAGCTGCTTGAATTTGGTCTGGCTGCTGTGAAGCATTCTACTGGTGTGGCTTTTCAGCAGTCTCAGCCTTTGTGTCCGTAGTGGCAGAGGCCGAGCCCAGCCCGTGCCGGCCATCTTGCGTAGTGATGCTTGAGTTAAGGGTTAAACCCTGGTTTGGCTCTGGGTTAAGTGTGTTGTTCCAAACGGCAGACGGTGCAGCTGAAAGCAAAACCCTCGAGTAAGATCCGGCTGGATAAATAACAGCACTGTCTATGCGTGCGATGGCTTTGGCAGACGTTCATGAGCAGAGTTCATAAGCAAAACATGTTTGGGTCTCTGCCTCCCAGGAGTTTATAATCTAGATCAACAGTAGGGGAGATTATGGGAGAGGGGATATTGGGGGTGGGGGGGAGGCCAGAGGAGCAAGGCATGAGACTGTGAGCAAATGAGTACTTAAACTTGGTTCCTGTTGGGAGTCTTAATGGGCAAAGCAAAAGCATCTAGAGAAGAGATGGGCTCACTGGGGTCAGACAAGTGCAATGTTATGCCGTCCTTCCTCCGTGGAGCTCCAAGCAGTGTATACGCTGCTCCCTTCCCCGATTTATCCTTGCAGCACCCTTGCAAGATAGGTCTGGTTGAGAGTGTGACTGGCCCAGTGTCACCCAGTGAGTTTTGTAGCCAAGTGGGAATTTGAACCTCGATCTCTCGGATCCCTGTCTGGCACTCTGACGACTACCCTACATGGGCCCTTCCGTATAGGGGAGGAGAAGCAGCATTGCACGCAGCGCACTAATAGAAAGAGCTCAGCATCTGTATCCATCCTTACACGTACTTGCCAAGAGGTGCCTCCTAGTATGGAAAGTGAGGGCTGCCCTCTAGAAGGCATTTCTCCCCCACCCCACCCAGCCACCAGTATCTTTTTCTTGGAAGTCTGTCGCAGGCCTGACATTGCTGCATCATGTGTCTGCCCCAAGGCAAATGGAAGCAGGCGTACACCTTTTTCCTAGAGCTGCACAAATGGGCTGCCTTTACAGGCCAAACGCTGTCATCTCGGCACGCTTGATCCCCAAAAGCATCTAATGACAGTGCTGTGATCTGCTCCGCCGTGCGTGGGTGAGGTCTGTGACGAGTGCCAGCAAGCCTGGGGAGGCGGGGTGTTTTGTTCTGTACAGGAAATGGAGTGCTCCTGAAACTCTGCAAGTGTGTGAGCAAGGCTTGGGTTTCTCAGCGGTTTCTGTTCATGAGCATGTATGATTCTGACTCGTCTCTCGGAGTTTCTGCATCCCAATGAGCAAAGGGGAGAGGCAGTCTATTTCTGTTTCCTGATGGGAAGAGAGAGAGCTGACCTACTGCAGTCACATGATGATATTTGCGAGAATATAGAGCAGGGGTCAGTGGGGGGAGAGAGCTGTGGATTTCCTGCATTGTGCAGGGGGTTGGACTAGATAGCCCTTGGGGTCCCTCCCAGCTCTGGGCTTCTGTGTTTCTAATTTTCAAGACATCTTCCTCTCTGGAACTGGTTTTTAAGAGGGCATGGTGTTCATCTGATGTACATTTATTGTGATGGCTAGATTTGAGTTCAGTAGTACCTTAAAGAGACCAACACAGTTTTTGGGGTATGAGCTTTTGAGACTCAAAACTCCCTTCGTCAGGCACAAGTAGGAGTGGAGATCTGAGTCTTTTTATCCACTTTCAGGAGCTGGAGCCAACGTCTGCTGGCTGTGTGAAGCAAGCACAGGATGGCATATCGCTGTAGTGATATCCCAGTGCCAATTTTTATTTGCTGCTTCATTCCAGTCCGCCTTTCTCACCGAAAGCATTGGGGCTGGTTCCCTCTTCCAAATGACTTTCACCCCTGTCCTTCCTGACTGTTTCTGGATACAGGGATTGGGGGTGCAAGAGAAATGGCAGGAGCCGGTGCTCCAGAAACACTTTCCCCGCTGCAGTTTCTGTGAGCCTGATGTCTCCAGTGAGCGTTACTGTCATCCCAGAAATTGTCTCCTCAGTGAGGACCAGACACAACACAAAGTCATTACTGGGGTTCTTGTAACCGGCCCGCTGTCTTCTTCATGCGAATGTTGTTAAAGCGGGACTGATCTGTTTGATGTACAGACAAGGGTTACTTCCTCTATAGAAAAGCAGATGGCAAGAACTCTTCCTCTTTCTGCTTGTAAGTCTAGGACTGGGGTGGGGTGGGAATCGCTCGTGTTCTAAAGGAAATTCTCCCTCACACGGTCTCAAATCAAGATATGGACTTTGTTGCCACATGGAGACGGCGGCCACGAAAAAGGCTCCAACATCTTGCAGTCAAAGAGAGAAGAGCCTCTCATAGGTGAGACCAGAGGTCATTTCGGGGGGGATTGCGGGGGATCGCAGTTCCCCCGGGTGAGGTACGGGGGGCAGGGCACATGACGAAGCCCTGCCCCCTGCTTCCAGCCGCCCCGCTTCCGGCCCTCATTCAGCCAGGAGGAGGCAGGAGAAGAGGGAGGGTAAGTTGCTTCCTCCCTGCCTCTCCCCACCCCTGCCTGCCTGGGGCCAGGGAGGGCCTTCGTGGGGCTTCCTTGCACTCCCGCCGGCCTTGCAGGTCCACCGCCGGGCCCCTCATGGGGCTCGGCAGTGGAGCTGCAAGGCTGGTGCCGGCGGCCGGAACCGTTGGGGGCGGGGTGTGTGGCCTTATGACACACATCCGGTGATGTCAGAGGGTGTGGCATATGCTAATGAGTTATGCTAATGAGTTCCCCTAGCTCTTTTTCTACGAAACGACCCCTGGGTGAGACGTTGAGCAAAACATATTAATGTTTGTGCTGCCTTTCTGGGTTTGCTCTCTGGTTTCCTTGTCAGCCAGTCGTGTCTTATTTCTTCTTCTCACTCTCTTTGTTAGCCTTCGGGCTTCAGCGGAGGGAACAGTTCGGTGGGCTGGTTCCACCTCTTGTACCACAAACTTTCCCTTAAAGAGTTTGACAAATCAATGGAGGGTAGACCTGTCGGCTGCAGTTAACCATGGTAGCTGAATCGAACGGCCATGTGCAGGGGAGGTATACCTCTGATGTCCAAACACAAGGAGAGAACAAGAAATGATGCTTTCATGGTGTGTGCGTGTGTGTTCTCCCCTCCGTGAGTGGGAGACTAAGACAGCTGGTGAACTGGGTTTTTGTGAATAGGGCTGTCCTTCAGAAGGGAGTTAGAGTCTGGGTTGGACAGCTAAACAGAACAGATATCAAGTGGCACCCCATTGGTGGTGGTGGAAAGTGCCATCAAGGTGTAGCCAACTTTTGGTGACCCCATCGGGTTTTCAAGGCAAGAAACGTTCAGCGGTGGTTTGCCAGTGCCTGTCTCTGTGTAGCGACCCTGGAGACTTCCTTGGTGGTCTCCCATCCAAATACTAACTTGGGCCGACCTTGCTTAGCTTCCAAGATCAGGCTAGCCTGGGCCATCCAGGTCAATAATAACAAAAACTTTTCAGAACAAAGTTTGGGTCCAGCGCAGGGGTCATTTAGGGCCAGAGCACGCACAGATGGCAGTGGTGGCAAGCCCCGCCCCCGACCTCCTCCTCTCTAGAGTTGCGCTGCAGCAGCGGCACGATCTTTCCATTGTATTCTATGGCCCCATAGAATACAATGGAAAGATCACACTGCCGCTGTGGTGTGACTCCAGAGAGAAGGGGTTTAAAGTTTAAACCCCTTCTGTCTTCGCTTCCCCCCCCCAGGCCGGCTGGGGAAGGGGAGGCTTTTCAAGATGCCTCCCCCCCTTTTGCTTTCCCTTCTGACGTCACTTCCGGTGATGTCAGGGGGTGTGGCATATGCTAATGAGCTATCATGCTAATAGACTATTAGATACGCTAATGAGCTCCTGCAGCTCTTCTTCTACGAAATGACCCCTGGCCCAGTGACACCTTGAAGACCCACAAAGTCCATTCATTCATTTTATCGGGCTTATAGCCCGCCCTACCCCAAAGTTCAATTCTAGGTATAAGCTCTCGTATGTGTTCACACTTCTCCTAACCCTAACCCGGAGACCTTCAAGGAAGTCCTGAGTTGCTACGCGGAGGAAGTCCCTGGCAAACCACCGCTCTTTGTCTCTTGCCTTGAAAACCTTCTGGGGTTGCCATAAGTCAGCTGCAACTTGACAGCACTTTACGCGAACACACACACATTTCCACTTAAGCTTTGTCTCTGCTTTCAGATTCCTGCAATCCCAAACGTTATTGCACTGTTCATTGGACGGCCCATCCTGTCGATAGCACTTGACTTACGCTGAGTAATCTGCCTTGAGTCTCAGTGAGAAAGGTGAACATAAGTAAAACAATGTGGACCACTTGTGGCATCGTAGCCTGATTGTGTCTCTTCCCTCCCTGTCGCTCCTAGGACATGAACGGCCTGGAGGAAGGCGTGGAGTTCCTCCCCACCATGAATGCCAAGAAGCTGGAGAAGCGTGACCCAAAGCAGTATATGGTGGTGGCTGCCATACTCGCGGTCTGCCTGGTTGTCTCCTTATTGGTGGGATTCCTTGTCTGGCACTTCAAATGTAAGTGGTGGCCCTGTATTGCTGTACTTTGGCGCTGGTCAGCTAATAAGGAAGGGAAGAATCATGCAGTGGTCCTTCCAGTGAGACCACGAGTGGTTGGAAAGCATGTCCCTGTTTCCTTCTGTGAATTGCTGAAGGATCTGCAGTTGATCAGCCCAATTATGTTCTCAATGTCTCAGTGTTATGGCAACATATGAGCAGGTCCCTTTTTGAATAAAGGAATTGGGAGTGAATCTAAATCAGCAAAACCATCGCTCACAAGCAATGTTCCCTCTAAGCTGTGGAGTCTTGTGAGCAAAAATTCTACTTTGTGAGCTACTGGCATTAAAGTTGTGAGCAAGTGATTTGGCTACTGCATAAATTAGTTTGCTCTGGAGCCATCCCTTCCTGAATTGAGACAAAAATGTGTGAGCCAGAGGCTAAAAAACTGTGAGCTAGCTCACACTAACTCAGCTTAGAGGGAACACTGCTCACAAGTAGAAGCCGAGTAATATGGGATGGATGTGAGCAAACGGAGCTACATGTTTGTAGGCTCCTTTTTTCCAGTGGGAGGCACATGTAAGCAGCATCCTGGATCTCCCTTGCAGAGCTATGCAGTCATGGGGTGTGTGTGTGTGATGACATACAAAATGCTCAGAGATTCTGCTTATGAGATCTTTTGGCAAAGTAGACCCAAAAGGGCAGGTCTTGGCCTGAAGGTAATTAAATTTGTATGCGGAAGAGCCATCCTGGATTTGTTGGGAATGCCTTGCTTAGACTTCAGCTGACTGCTTGTAGGACGGGAACGGGCAAGGCTCCTTTTCTGAAACTCAGCACAAAGAGACGGAGCCACTTTTAGCCCTGCAGTGCAGGTCATATTCTATTGAGCATTTTCAAGTCATAGATGAACAAAACCTATTGAGGCAGACTCAGCATGGGTTCTGTAAGGGAAGATCTTGTCTCACTAACCTGTTAATGTTCTTTGAGGGGGTGAACAAACATGTGGACAAGGGGGACCCAATAGATATTGTTTACCTTGACTTCCAGAAAGCTTTTGATAAAAGTTCCTCATCAAAGGCTCCTAAGTAAGCTCAAAAATCATGGGATAAAAGGACAAGTCCTTTTGTGGATCAAAAACTGTCTAATTAATAGAAAACAGAGAGTATAAATGGGCAAATGGGTCCATATACTAGTGGACCTCCTGATGGCACTGGTATTTCTGGCCACTGTGCGATACAGAGTGTTGGACTGGATGGGCCTTTGGCCTGATCCAACATTGGCATCTCTTATGTTCTTATGTTCTTAAGTCTTCTTTCCCTCACGCGGCTTCTTTCAGACAAGAATGCCCCTGTGCAGAAGCTGTACAATGGTCACCTCAGGCTCACGGGCTCCCGCTTCATAGACGCTTACGAGAACTCCAACTCCTCGGAATTCGTGAAGCTTGCCGGGAGAGTCAAGAAAATGGTAAGGATTTCCGAACTCCTCACGCAGAGCCTCAGGGGAGCTCGCGGGCTTAGCATAAGTCCCCCTGCTCCCCTGTTGTGTTACAGTGGATATCAGAATTGAGATAAACCGAGCCGTCTCGACCACCCATGTGAATCTGCCTTACGCAACTTGGTCTGCCGAGGACACTGTTGCCAACTCTGGTTGGTGTTGGCGGTACGCCAGGGGATCTGTCCCACATGTGCTACTGAGTGAGCTGACAGGAGGGAAGAAGAAGAAGAAGAGATTGGATTTGTCCCCCGCCCTTCACTACCGAAAGGTGTCTCAGAGCGGCTTACAAACTCCTTTCCCTTCCCCCTCCCCACAACAGACACCCTGTGAGGTAGGTGGGGCTGAGAGAGCTCTTGACAGAAACTGCTCTTTTTCAAGGACAGCTCTTTTCAGAGCTACGGCTTGCCCAAGGTCACCCAGCCAGGTGCAAGTGGAGGAGTGGGGAATCAAACCCGGTTCTCCCAGATTAGAGCCCGCGCACTTAAACACTACACCAGACTGGCTGTGGGCTTCCTGAGGCATCTGATGGGCAACAAAATACTGGATTAATTTAGACCAGGGTACCCAACTTTTTTTTAAGCCTTTAGGCACCTCAGAATTCTGACACTGCTGCCCCAGGAGGCAGAGCCTACCACAAAATGTCAAGGACCAAGGTTATGCCTAACTGTCATCGCAACTCTTCAGCGATTGGGCAGAAGCTCTGTTTAACTGGATGCCTTTATAGTTGCACAGCCAATCAGAAGCCCTGCTGGGCACAAGCCCACACTTGGCCCTGCTCCCTTTCTAAAACTCAGCACAGGTTTGGTGTCGTGGTTAGGGGCGCGAACTCTAATCTGGGAGAACTGGGTTTGACTCCCCACTCCTCCACATGCTGCTGCTGGGTGACCTTGGGCCAGTCACAGTTCTCTCAGAGCTCTCCTCTTCTGCTGCTGCTGCTTCTGCTTCCCCTTCCCCTCCTCCTCCTCCACTTGATGGGCATCAGGAAAGGTACTGGTTGGTGCCATGGTGCCCACCACCTTGTGTCAGAATTACAGAGGTGCCCAGAGACTCAAAAAGGTTGGGGACCCCTGTAGCCTTGGGCACGTGGGATACCGCAAGGTTCCACCCACCATCCATGTTCAACAATATCCATGATATTCAACATTTTTGTGAACTGCTGGGAAACCTCTTCTAGGGAATCGGTCTGAAGTGCCTTCAGTATGGTGATGTCCCTCAGTACTTATCATTTTCATCAGATCCTCGGGATGGGGTGGTGGTGGTGGAAGCAGAAGGCCTGAAACCAGTGAGGAACAGATTGTTGACAAACAAGCCAAAACTTAACCCAGATAAGGTGGACATTGGAGATATAGTTAGTCTGGGCATAGCAGTGTTAGCTGTGTTGGCTGGAGTTACACTCTCCCTTCAAACCCAGGCTTGCTTTCCAGTCCTGGCTGGTACAGCTGCTTTGCCTTTTCCTAGACAGTGGAGGCCTGGCCTTAGTTATGCACACTTTAAAGACTGGATTACTGCAACACACTCTACATGGGGCTTCCTTTTAGGGTTATGTTAGTACTGCAGTTGGTCCAGAATGCAGCCACCCTGTACATATAGCTACAGTATTACTTTAATTACACTGGCTTCCAGTTTGTTCCAGGCACTAATCAAAAAGGCTCTATTTCTTTGTTTGTTTGACCAAAAGTGGCTTACATCATTCTGCTCTCCTCCATTTTATCACAACAACCCTGTTAGGTAGGTTAGGCTGAGTGCATGCGACTGGCCCAAAGTCACCCAGCTTCCATGACAAAGTAGGGATTCGAACCTGGGTCTCCCAGATCCTAATCCAACATTCTAACCACTACACCAAACTGATAGCACAACTAAAAAATATAAATATAAAACTTTAAAAATACCTGTGGCAGGGATGTAAGAACTTTTGATTGTTAGCTGCCCCAGTGATATCTTTTTGGTACAAATATTTAAAATAATATTTTCTATGATAGTTGTGAGGTCAGAATACCGATGGTGTATGTACATGTGGATGATACAGTCTAGTATTACAGAAGGCATTTCTAACGCACCAGCAGCTGATGCACCTAACGTGAAAAATCTGTACAGTCAGAATGGTCCTACCCCTTCTGACATCTGAATTTTCTGGATGTTGATCTGAGTTCCATTTTTTAATTACGTTTCCCCCAAAAACAGATTCTAGATATCTATAAGAATAATCCGGACGTTGGCCGGTTCCACAGGGAGACAGTGATCACCTCGTTCAGGTGGGTAATGCATCCCTGAGGCCATTCGGAGTGGGTAAAATGTTAGTGGCATAAATGAAAACTGGAAGAGAGCGAAGAAACAGTGGCCCTTAACACTGGTGTGCCTGACCTCTTCAATGAGACCAAACTTTATTCCTGCCCTTGTTCTCAAAAACCACCACTAACTTAAGAAAACTGCAGACATTCCTGTGCTCGGTCATAGCTGATCATCATAGATTTGGTGCTTTGCAGCAGTGCCTGTTCCATTTACGGTTGCCAACTCCCGCTTGGGAAGCACCTGGAGATTTTGGGGGTGGAGCCTAGGAAGGGCAGCGTTTGGGGAGGGACGTCAGTGGGGCAGAATGCCACAGAGTCCACCTTTCAAAATAGCCATTTCCTCCAGGGGAAATGTTCCGTGTAGTCTGGAGATCAGCCGTAATTGCAGGAAATCTCCGGCCCCCATCTGGAGGTTGGCAAGCCTGTGCGTCACATTCTCTTGGGTGACTTCTGCCCAATGAGCTGCTTAGTCAGTAGAATGGATTTATGGTTTGCAGTTTAGCAGTCCCGTGGCATAGATGTAAGGTTATGGCATGGTTTGGATTGTTGTATAATGTCGGGGGGGGTTATGTGCTTTTTTATAATATGGGTGTCTTTCCTCAAAACTGGGCTCAATGGGTTTGAGCAGACATGAAATGTCTGTCCGTGGGACCAGGAAATGAAATAGTATGTGCAAAGAAGGGAAAATGTAAACTCCCTGTCCTGAATCGTTTAGCCATGTATTTGCAAATGTGCAATCATACGGGCTCAGAACTTTCATGCCAAAAAAAAACCCCTTACGAGGGGCTACCTCCTATGGCTTTGTCAACATGGCTTCCGTAGTTTTCCTTCTGATTGCTGGTACATTCAGATTGTGAAAACCAGTGAAACTGAGTTAGTTGCCGGCAGTGCTCCCTCTAAGCTGTGGAATCTTGTGAGCAAAAATTATACTCTGTGAGCTACTGGCATTAAAGTTGTGAGCAAGCGATTTGGCTACTGCATAAATTAGTCTGCTCTGGAGCCATCCTCCCTGAGCTAAGACAAAAATGTGTGAGCTGGAGGCTAAAAACCTGTGAGCTATCTCACACTAACTCAGCTTAGAGGGAACACCGGTTGCCGGAGTCATCTCTTTGGAACTAAGGTGGCCAACTGCCTGGAGAGAAAATATCCTGTCCCTTTAGTAGGGGTTAGTGGGATATTATTTATCTCCATGCCATGAAAACAGTTGTCCATTTCTATACATTAAGCCTCTTTTCAAGGGGCAGAACACTCTTCTCCAGGCCTGCTGGCAGCTTTACTTAGAATCCTGATTGTTTGGTCCAGGCTCTAACTTGGAACCCTGATTGTTTGATCCAGGTGCTAACTTTCTGCCAACTTGTTTTCTTCCACGCAGCGAGGGCAGCATTATTGCTTACTACTGGTCAGAGTTCAGTGTACCTAAGCTCCAAGTGGACGCCCTTGACAAGGCCATGGCAAACATCCAGGCTTCGAATCTAGCAGAGGTGCAGAAGTTGAGAAACCCTGATTTGAGAGTCGATACAATCGTTGCTTTCTGTGAGTTTCTCTTCTGCCTTTATTTATCCCCCTCCATCCATCTCCTCCACCTTGGCTAAGTTAGGGGGAATCTGAGTATCTGATGCCAGGAAAAATGTGTATAAGTGGCTGTGGCAAATAAGAGGAGAGTTTCTTGCAGGGAGTTATCCATCCATTAGAAATCTGTGAACTGAAGCCCGAGTTCCTATATCCAGCTTTGGCTGCAATTTGGAGGGTAAAATCTCATCCATGCTACAATTCCTAACTTTTGCAGGAGGACAGTGTAATAATTCCACAGCATCCAGTGCCACAGACAGTTCAGAACTTTATTGGAACAGAGGCCAAGGCCTGTTCTGGGCCCTGCTAGATCATAACCAGTCATAGCAAGGAAGCAACATAACAAGTGAAAAATGAAACTAAAGCAAAGGCTTTTTCCTTAAGAGAGCATGTTAAAATAACTATAGAGTACAGTAAGGGAACATGACCAAATTCAAAGCTCCCCATGATATATCAGGCAGAACAGCCAAGATTTGTTGGTCAGGAAAGATAGGTAGAGAGAGCGCTATCAGTAAAGGAAAGGTGTTGGTAACCTGATGCTTTCTGGCTGTCTTAGATATAAAACCAGCCCCAGAGGTTCCTTTTGAAGCCACCCTTGAGTGGATAGGGATTGGAGTGGCCAATAAATTCAAAATATCTGTTCAGAACAAATGGTGCAAAATGGATTTTGCTCACAGTTTTGTTCTGATTTCAAAATCTTTGATTTCCACAGAAATGGTGGAGACCACAGTGGTAGAAGGGATGCAAAGGGAGGGACGGAGGAAGCAGAGGCTGAATACGAACTTTTAGGTAGTTTTAGTTCAGGTGATTTCCAACATCTCCCACCACTCATTATTAGAACTATAAACCGTTCTTATTTTTTTTTTCTCATTAACATTTTATTGGTAGGATTAAAACAATAAAACAAATATAACAATAAAAATATACATAAAGGTCATAAGAACAGTTATACATTCAAACCAACACACTAATTACAAAAAAAGTAAGCTTTAAAGAATGATACATTCTTCAATAAATCTTTGAACAAAGTAACTTATTTTAGCCTCAATTTGTAATTGATGCCTGTACTGTTTGTTGCTTTAGATACAACCAAGTGTATTCTGCCCTCAAGAATATCTGTAGACATTCAATGATATATCTAATCCTATTAAACACAAAGTACTACCCACAAATCAAGTTTTACCAAAGCCTACTTACTATACTTTATTTGAACCATAAAAAATCCTCACAACCATTTAACATAGTTATTCCAGGATGCTGAGATAATTTTTTTGTCTGATAGAGCTTCTAAAATTGGCATCCATTTAGCTTCGAACCCAAAATGTACGACGTTCCTTTTATTTCTGTAAACTTTATCAGTGATGCTTTCCATAATGAACTGATTCCACAGCTTCTTGTACCAAGTTTGAATGTTAGGGGGGGAGATATCTTTCCAGCAAGATGCTATAGATAGCCTAGCCGCATACAGCATTGTGTCCAGCATGTCTCTATAGTGATGATGTGCTATTTCCTCTGACCAAAGATTTAAAAACAAGGTCTCAGGTGACTTTGGAGTAAGTATACCCAAGATATTGTGGATATATCGCAGTACATCATTCCAGAATGAACTAATTTTTTCGCATTCCCAAAAGCAATGCGCAAAGGTCCCTAATTTTTTGCAACCCTTCCAGCAGTCTGGCGAATAGTTAGATGTTATGTGAGACAGTCTCTGAGGTGTCATGTACCACCTGGTTAGAATTTTGAATTTGTGTAAATCTATTGATATTGCGCTAGGAGTGTTATTTTTTTGTTAAAATTTGGAAACTGTTCTTATTTTTTAAAGAAAAGTTTTTTCTGAAGCCAAGTTCTGCACTTTATCGGTGCTGAGAAGTGTGGGCGATGTCTGCCGATGAGCATGAAACGAGCATTTTAGCCTGGGGGAGCAACTAAATGGGAGGGAGGATGTGTCCTCATTATCTTGTGTCATTCCAGTTTGTATATTGTTAGGATTAGGGTGTGATTCTCTTAGTTTCTCAGAGCTGATTTCTCGACCCTAACATAGAAATTTACAGGTAGGGTTTGATAATTGTCCAATAATGGACATTCTGTGGTAGGGACAGGCCATATTTATTAATGTATGTTTTTATCTTCTTATGATGTGATCCGCTCTGAGCCCACTTCCAGGGAGGGCGGACTCCAAATCCAAATAAATAAATTTGTCCAGATTGATTTTTCTGGACACCCCCCCCCCCCGCGAAAAAAAAAAAACCACACCAAGAACTAGTTGGTCTTGTAAGTTTTGCAGTTCAGAACCCACAGGCTTGTTCTGTCGTGTATTTCTTTCGCTCTGGATAGTTATAGTAAAGATTTTGCCATCTGCCACGATGAATGGTCCCTTGGGCGCTTTCTTCCTTGATCACAAAACCTTATTAACGAAATTTGAGGCTTTGTCCGGAGACATCGCTAGGGGCTGTGTTTCGTTTCAGCCCTTTGGAACACTAGGTGACAACATCATACTTAAATCACGTTTGCATCAGGGCTTTGCCTGTGCGGTTTTCTTGGATGACCCTTGCCACAACCTGGTGAGGGAGGCTAGGCTGAGAAAGTGACCAGCTGAAGGCCACCTCAGCTGAGTGAAAATGTGAACCTGTGTCCTTTGTATAAGTGCTGGCGTTCTCAGTGACCCTACGTTAGATCTAAAAAAGACAGCAGGAAATAAAATTGTTTTAGTTTGGTGGTCATCTCTTCTCCTTTCCGCTTGATTCAAACAATACCTGTATGAATCGGAGAATACCAGTAGTGAAACAAGAACACTAATTATATGGGATTCATTGGAGATGAATGTGCTGCATTGAAGATCAGTTCAGTTGTTATGGAGTTTTATGTTTGAGAATTCGAGAGTTGCAGCAGATGGAAAAAAGATGTTGTGGCAGCTAAAAGATTATGTAAACCATAAATACCTGGAGATTTTAGGTTTGGAGCCTAGGAAGGGCAGGGTTGGAGGGGGGGAAGGACCTCAGCAAGGTGTAATGCCATAGAGTCCACTCACCAAAGCAGCCATTTTCTCCAGCAGAACTGATCTTTGTAGTCTTGAGATCAGTTGTTATCCCAGGAGATCTCTGTGATGATTCCTTTTGTTTGAGAGTGTGTGTCCCTTTAAATGTTTGATAGTAACTAGTGTGCCGTGATTGGTGGATGACAGAGTGTGGGAGGAGTTATTATCTGTGTGGTTGTGTCAGTGAGAGATTGGAGAATGACAGTTGGAATAATGACAGTTGGAGAAAAAGCAGTTGATGTTGTTCAGTGGGATTTTCAGTCAGTTAGAGCTCTGACAGTCCTGTGTGGAGTCAGAGAGAGAGAGAGAGAGCCGAAAGTTCTGTGTGGAACCAGTTCTATGTGAAGTCAGTGCTGTGTGGTATTAGAGAGAGAGAAAGCAGTATATATCAGTAAAGTGAAACTACAGTTCTTAAAGAGAGTTAAAGTTACAAAGATCCTGTGTGATACAGTTGACATGCATACTTACAAATACCTATTTCCTAAACAGCTACAGTTTAAACAACCTCTTAATTTGTTCTTTCAATAAATCCTTTTTATTTAAGTTTATCCCAGAAGCCTGATCCATATAGATCCTCGAAAGCCAAGACCCTGGGTCAGAATACCAAAACCAGAAGCAGAAAGGGGATTTGGAATTTAAACAAAATTCCTGGTGGCAGCTGGAACTACTTATTTTCCTGGTGGCAGCTGGAACTACCTATTTTATAAACAAAGTATGATTTAAAGTGAAATTCAGTCCTCCCCAATAGGAGGTCGTCACAATCTCCAGCCCCCACCTGGAGGCTGGCAACCTTAGAATGTTGGGAGGTTCCAAACCAATCAACATCCTATAATGAGGGCAGCTGTTTCCATATGGGGGCTCCCTGCAGTCCCAAAGGTGATGATTCTTGGGGTCCTCAGAAGCACTTCTGCTCTGGTGAGGCGGAATAAAGCCAGGAGGCTTTGGAGGAAATACAGGTAGGGGCCAAAAAGCATATCAGGCATCACGGGGAGATGCATTGGGGTTCACCGCTGCAACTTTTCATGGGCTCACACAGTTGTTCAGGGCTCACCCGAAATTCAGGCAAATAAATAAGAACTGGCAACTGGTGGCATCAGACAGGTTACCGCCTGGCCTTCTATCAAGAAGCAGAAGAGGATAAGGTTTTGGCCGCAGACGTTTGGGAAGCAGTGGCAGGGATCCTGACCCACCAACCTCCCACTCCTTGTTCAAAATGTTCATCTAGTACATTGCCTAACGAAGGACATGCAAGGGTATTATCGGACCTAACATTCTTAACAGCTGTTCGTTGCATGAGAGGGAAAGCCGTGATAGTGAAATACATGAAGATTACAGTCATGATGACTCTAACCCTGCGTTGGCAGGGGATTCTCATGGCCTGCTTCTGTAAAAAGGAAACGAAAGAAACTATGCATCACCCTTTGTGTTCGGTTTGTTTACAGAGTATTCTGACTGTGTGGGATTCCCCTACATGGTGTAGATGAAATCAACACATTAGTAATGGCTTATTTCTCTCTCTCTCTCTCTCTTTTAGCTACCAGTGCTGACATAATTAAGGCTTCACAGGACAGTAAGTAGAACGTAGTGGCATTTTTAGAGCAATAGCAAAAAACAAAACAAAATAAAGGTTGCACCTTCTGAATAATGGTGTGTGTTCCTTCTGTCCATTGGAGAGGTGGTGGCCATCTATTGGAGGGGAGAAGTGCTAATATTTTTGGAAGAGTAGCCACCGAATACACTTCCCCTAGCACTGAAATTGTGGCCAAAAATTCCTAAAGCAAAGTTCCACTGTTCAAGTTTGCTTTACATAAGAACATAAGAGAAGCCAGTGTTGGATCAGGGTAATGGCCCATCCAATCCAACACTCTGTCACACAGTGGCCAAAAATACCAGGTGCCATCAGGAGGTCCAGCAGTGGGGCCAGGACACTAGAAACCCTCTCACTGTTGCCCCCCTCAAGCACCAAGAAGACAGCGCATCCCTTGCCCCAGACTGAGAGTTCCTATCTATACCTTGTGGCTAACAGCCACTGATGGACCTCTGCTCCATATATTTATCCAGTCCCCTCTTGAAGCTGTCCATCCTTGTAGCTGCCACCACCTCCTGTGGCAGTGAATTCCATGTGTTAATTTCACATTCTGAATTCTTCGCATCTCAAAGTGGTGGGGAAAACTCTTGCTTTGATTTTGCTCCCCCTACTATCTGGTCTGACCTGGATGGCCCAGGCTAGCCCAGCCTTGTCAGATCTCAGAAGCTACCCAGGGTTGGCCCTGGTTAGTATTCAGATGGGAGACTACCAAGGAAGTCCAGGCAATGACAAACCACCTCTGAACACTTCTTGCCTTGAAAACCCTACTGGGTCTCCGCAAGTTAGCTGTCACTTGAAGGCACTTTCCTCCACCACCACCATCTGGCCCTGGCCCTGATTCTCACTGCAGATCTCAGAGTCCATTTCCACTTTAAATTGTGCACTCCTTCCTCCTTCGTTGGGTGGCTGCTTGAGTCCAAGATGTCTTAGCATTCTCTTCTCTCCTCCTCGTCTCCTGGGTAGACGGCTGCAAGTATGCCTTGCATGCGAAAGAAGGCATGATCACCAGCTTCGCCACGCCGGGATTTCCCAACAGCCCGTATCCATCTAACGCACGGTGTCAGTGGGAGCTGAGAGCAGACGCAGACTCAGTCATCAGCCTGACCTTCACGACGATGGACCTAGAGCCATGCAAATCGGGGGGTGACTCGGTTGCGGTGTATGACTCGCTTATTGCCTCGGAACCCCGTGCGATGGTCAAGTAAGTCTGTCTCCCTATTAAAGCTAGTGGGGCAGGAACCGGGCCTCCCTGGGTAAGCTATATGAGTTGGGGGGTGGGAATGGAGGGAGCATTCAGGATTGTAAGGAACCCCTTCCCACACTTGCAGTGACTTCTGACAGCCGGATGAGAAGAGCTGTTTTATATGGCCCACTGTGAGGATAAAATCCCCGGTTCTATTTCTATATTATCTGTTTATTTAAAAGGTTTGTATCCTGTACGCTCGGCTACCTGCCCAAGGTGGTGAGATCCTAGATTTTTCACACAAGCCCTGTAGCAAATAGGATTCTATCTTAAGGTCAAGAAGTTGGCTGATAGCCAATAGGAACAAGGATCTCATTTCCAGATATCTGTATATAGTATGTGGATATCATAAATATAACAATGGAAGTCAGGGGTCCCCAACCTTTCTGAGCCAGTGGGCACCTTTGGAATTCTGACACAGTGTAGTGTGTGTCGCCACAAAATGGCTGCCGCAGGAGGTGGAACCAACCACAAAATGGCTGCCACAGCTTACCTTCAGTCACATGGTAAAGATCCTCGTTGCATTGGCAGCAGCTGCGACTACTACAGCACATTTTTAAAAATCTGCACAGCCAATCAGAAGCCTTGCTGGAGTAAAGCCTCACCTGCGGCCTAGATGGTGGCAGTGTGACATATGTACTGTAGCCTGCTTCTCCAATACTGTGCTGAATCATACCCTGAGGTTCAAGAGGCTTTATAAGGACTGGTGGCACCAGTCTCCTACTTTAGATGGGTAGCTGAATATGTCTGCAGCAGAGCAGGAAGGTTCAAGTCCAATAACACCTTGAAGACCAACAAGATGTCCAGAGTTTGTTGAATTTTGCCAGCTTCTGACTTTGTACTTGATGTGTGGCACAGTTGGCAAAATATTTGGCCATCACTGACTGGAAAACTCCAGAGGAGAGGAATGACTGCGGTGGAGCAGCAGGAGTTACAGGAATGTGGTGGATGTTATGTCGAATATTGGGGGTGGGGAGATACTTCCAAAGAAGCTGGTGGAAAGTGCTTTTCCTTTTTGGGGGGGAGGGCGGCATCAAGTCACAGGTGATTTATGGTTACCTGGTGGGGTTTCCAAGGCAAGAGACATTGAGAGGTGGTTTGCCATTGCCTGCCTCTGTGTAGTGACTCTGGTCTTCCTTGGTGGTCTCCCATCCAAATAGTGACGAGGGCTGATCCCGCTTAGCTTTTGAGATCTGACAAGACTGGGCTAGGCTGGGCTAAAAGTGTGGTAAAGGTAAAGGTTCCCTTGCTCGAAAGCCAGTCGAGTCCGACTCTAGGGTTGCGGTGCTCATCTCCATTTCAAAGCCAAAGAGCCAGCGCTGTCCGAAGACGTTTCCGTGGTCATGTGGCTGGCATGACTAGACACCAAGGCGCACGGAACGCTGTTACCTTCCCACCGAATTTCTTGAGCTGCGGTGGCTCAAGTGGTTAAGACGCTGAACTGCAGGCTGTGGAAGGTCAGTAGTTCAGCAGTTCGAGACCCGAGTTGCCGCATGACGGAGTGAGCTCCCGTCTCTAGTTCCAGCTCCTGCCAACCTAGCAGTTCGAAAGCAAGAAATTGCAAGTAGATAAATAGGTACCACTTCGGTGGGAAGGTAACAGCGTTCCGTGCACCTTGGTGTTTAGTCATGCCGGCCACATGACCATGGAAACATCTTCAGACAGCGCTGGCTCTTCGGCTTTGAAACGGAGATGAGCACCGCAACCCCAGAGTCGGATTCGACTGGCTTTCAAGCAAGGGAACCTTTACCTTTAAAAGTGTGGTACCAGGATTTTATTCCCCAGAAGGATTGACAAAATCTTCTAATTTGAAATGTCTGTGGGGGAAAAAAAGAGAGGATTCTGAAACTTCTCCTGAATTGGAGGGTGTTCCGGAGTCAGTCTGTGTAGAGCTTGAGTGTTCTTGTCAGGAAAGCAACAAACCAAAGTGTTCATAAAACACACATAAAAAGTTCACAAGCGTAACTCATAGTGAACTATGACCTTTGTCCTTCCACCCCACCTTCCTTGGTGCTGAAATTCAGGCTTTGTTGACATGCCCTGAATTTGCTGTAGAGATTTCCAGCAGCATCACATTTTGGAGCGCACTTTCTGCATTAGCTCAGGCTTGTGGGGTAAGCAGGGCAGAATCATCTTCAGCACTGCAGACGTGATCAGAAGATCTGTAGCTTACCTGTGGCTATCCAGCAAGTTCATGGCTGAATTGAGATTTAGGTTTTACCGAATACACCAGGGGTGAGGGGTCCCCAACCATTTTGAGCTTGCCAAGCACCTTTGGATTTCTGACACTGTGTAGTGGGCCGAGCCAAAAAAGGTCTGCCCTGGGAGGCGGAGCCAGCCATCCAGTGGCTGCTGCAGTTTACATGCAGTGAAAATCATTGGTGCTATGTTGGCAGCTATTGTAGAAACAACTTAAAAAAAAAAGAATCTGTTCAGTCAATCAAATCTCCAATAGCCAATCAGAAGCCTTGCTGGGCAAAAGCCCCACTTGGTCCCACCCACTTTCAAAAAGGAAAGGTGTTGGCAAGCACCATGTTGGGGACCCTTGCCGTGCAACCCATTGCACCAAGGACACTGTTATCAAACATCAATGCACCAACAGACTCCCCAGGCAATTTCCCACTGTTGGAGGAAGCAATGTTCTAATGTACGCACTCTCTGATCTGTCCCTTAGTTCCCTTATCAACAGTGTGGCACTAAAGGAGGAAGTCAGCCCAGCTCTCTCCTCTAAATTTTAAAGATGCAAAAGCAACTTTAAAAAATGCCCTTTTCTATAGGTAGGTCCTTAATGCTGTTCTGATTTTTTTTAGTTAGTTAGTATTGCTTAATCTTTGGAGGCAAAGATGTTGAGCTCCTCTGAAATAAAGCCACAATTGATACCATTCTTCAGGGCTGTAGCTCAGCCAGATACAATACGGAACCGATGATTATTAAGCCAAGCCAGACACCCTGAAGAGTATGGGAGGGGCTCTGGTCAATGGAAGACCATCTGCTTTGTATGCAGAATGTCCCAGGTTCAATCTCTGACATCGCCAGTTAAAAGGACCAGGCAGTAGGTGCTGTGAAAGACCTCTGCCTGAGACCCTGGAGAGCTGCTGCCAGTCTGAGTAGACAATACTGATCTTGATGGAGCCATGATCTGATTTAGTAGAGGGCAGCTTTATGTGTGTTCAAGAGAACTGTGGCCGTGGTACTTGGGGCAACCTCTACCCCCCCACCTTCAAAATGCACATCCAGTAAAATGTATTGCTAACCAGAGAGATACAAGACTATTATCTTGTGCCAAATCCTTCCAACTTTGGAAATTCAATGGGAGTACAGTATTGGATGGATTTGGGGGTGGGATGGGGGGGGAATCCATCTTGAACGTTTTGAACTGTGAACGGAGAGCACCTTTTCATGCTCAACGGCATGGCTGTTCCCAGCTATGATTCATCTTCCTAGTGGATGGGCCCTTGACTCTTCCGGGATCTGTAGAAGAAGAGTTGCCACAAAGTGCTTGGGGCTGTTGCAGGCAGGGGCTAGAAAGGTTCTCTAATGGCTGCCACCACCACTCTGGTAAGGGTCTCCTTGGGAGCAGCACCCACCCTGTAGAGTACTTTTCCTGTAGGTTTCCCCTTTATACGTGACCAAATGAGGCGTGAGGACCCAGGCAGAGTAATAACCTATTTTTAGTTAAAAGAGATTTAACAGCAACTTTAATAATGTTTAGAAAAAATGAGCACAGTAAAGGTAGGTAAATCAGTACAGTAATAAATCCTAACACATCTGACTGTACGGTCCTGGCCTTCCCTAGGTACCTGGTCTCAGACTGGCTCACCCCTTTTGGATGAGGGATCCCTCTTTCTGTAGCAGCCTCACCAGCCCTGGTCCCCGGGAGTGAACCCCCTCCCGCCTTGGACAAGGCCTTTTGTTCCTTCTTCCCAGGCACCACCCCCTGCTTTCCTGCTGGTGTAGTTTCCCCTCCAAAATCCCCTGTTACCCAATCACAGGGTCCAGAGGGAACCTGGGAAATGTAGGCCCTGAGAGGTACTCCAGTGCAGGCTTCCCTGGAGCCACTAGGCCTCCCTAGAGCCTGTAGGCCCAGGATCATGACAGGGGCACTCACTCTCTTTTGCGCTTCTCTCTTCCCCAGACTGTGTGGCAGCTACAGCCTATCCTACAACCTGACCTTCGTCTCCTCGCAAAACGTGATGCTGGTCGTGCTGATCACAAACAGCGAGGGGCGAAACCCCGGCTTCAGGGCGGACTTCTTCCAGATGCCGAAGATGAAAAGTAAGGAGAGGATTAGGGTTGCCAGGTCTGGGTGGGAAAATACCTGGAGACTTTGGGGGTGGAGCTGGGAGAGGGCGGGGTTTGGGGAAGGCAGGGGCCTCGGTCCAGTGCCACAGAGTCCATCCTCCAAAGCAGCCATTTTCTCCGGGGGAACTGATCTCTCTCAGCTGGAGATCAGTTGTAAAAGTGGGAGATCCCCAGGCCCCACCTGGAGGTTGGCAACCCTAGAGAGGATTCAGCAGCTGCTCTCTTTTTGGAGGTGAAGGGCCAATTGTGGAGAGAGAGGATGGGAATATTGGGGGGGGCATCTAAGCAAGCTCCCCTTTTAAGATAAATACCTGTTTACATTGGCAGGAACCTTGGGCAGACCTTTATTTTTCAACCTTAAACCCCGCCACCACCCATGATAAACAGCATCTCTCAGCTTCTCTAGTGATTGGAGAGAGAGGATGGGAATATTGGGGGGGGGCATCTAAGCAAGCTCCCCTTTGAAGATAAATACCTGTTTACATTGGAAGGAACCTTGGGCAGACATTTATTTTTCAACCTTAAACCCCACCACCACCCGTGATAAACAGCATCTCTCAGCTTCTCTAGTGATGCCTCCTAATGAGAGACGGACAGGGATTATGTCGGGCTGAGCCCGGAAGACTGAGGGGAGTAGATGAAATTTAATTAGTCTCGAGGGTTCACTGTGTCTTAGAGCAAATCTGGTCCCTCCAGAGGCCAGCTTAACTTCATTAGAGACTGCCTCGGCAGTTGTCTTTTCTTTCCCGGATGCTCTGAAAGGGAATGAACTTCATTTTTGTCCCTCCTTTTATTCTAGCCTGCGGTGGAAACCTGAGAGGGATATCTGGAAACTTCACCACTCCGTATTTCCCGGGTCATTATCCTCCTTTGATGAATTGCACATGGAACATAGAGGTAAGCAGCTGGGGAGAACGCCTACTTGGTTTTATCCTTGAGCTTTCCATGCCACGTTACAGATGGGGGCCTAACATGTATGTCATGTTACAAGTACTGAAGAGGGAAAGGTGATGCTTCAGGATGCGTAAAGCTGGAAATATTGTACATCGAAGGTATGTGATGCAGGGCAGTTCCCGATGCATTTGTGTGCAATCCTGTGAACCCCAGCTTTTGTTTAAAAAAGTTTCTAGTTCTCATGGTGGCGATTTGCTTATTTCCCCCCTGCTTTTCCCCCAAAAGAGGCTTACGGGAATTGGAATCTAATAGGGATGATAAAAAGTTCAATCAAAAATTTCCTTGGGAAAAGGATTCTTGGCTGAACTGGATTTAGATACGATGCTGGGATGCACGGCAGCCTTCTTGGGTCTCTCTGATGGCTCCATTGATTGCAGATGGGAGCTGCAGGGAGGGATGTTTTCAACTCGCATGAATCAGGACGGGGACCCATGAGGAATCATGGGGTAGGGGAAATCCCTCTTGCTTACCCTCTTCCTCAACCCTCCCAGTTGCATGCTTTGTCCCTCCCCCTCTCCTGCCCCAGCCTTCCCACTCACATATTTCCCTCCCCATGGATAATCCCCACCTTTAAAAAAACAACAACACAGTTCTTGTGCTTTCGCACATCTGCATTGAGTCTCTCGGAGAAAAGCAGACTGTAAATGAAAGAATGAAACAAATTTTTGCGATATCTGTGCATAGCACAAACATTGCAGGTTGTTTTAGATAGGCGGTTAATATATACATTTTCCAGATTTTTCCACAAATCTATGGGGTTCCTCCACTATTGTAGAAACATCTGCCCTATCCCTGGTTGGCCAGCCTGGGGATTAAATATCTGGTATATGCTGACGTTTAAGGAACAGTGTAAGAGCCCACCAGAATACTACATTATTACATAAAACTAGGGAAGGTAACCTCTAAGATATGCAAGGTCCAGTCTACTTAGAGCTTTAGAGGCTCCTTCAGAGTCTGCCCAGAAGCCAGTGGGAAGCCATTTCAGGCAAGCCAGGATGGGAGTAATCAATTTTCAATGGTCCAACTAAGACAGATGTCAAAATTCTTCACCAGCTGCAGATTCTAGGCACTCTTTGCACGGGCCATAGACTTGGAATCCACCGAATGCTTCTGCTGACAGAACATGACTTTCGTTCCTCCCCCCTCCCATTGCAGCCCCAAATGCCTCCTAAAGTGTTGCTTCTGGGGGGCAGGGGACTGCCAGGAACAGCAAGGGGAAGTAGCAGTCTATAGTGGGAGAGGGGGATTGGTGAAAAGCAACTCCCCCATCAGGGGAAATGTTTGTTGGGATGCCAGCTAGAGCGTAGAAGGAGAGCAACATGGTTGGCTGGCTCCTTTTGCTGCCGCCGAAGTAGCTGGTGACAGTGATGGCAGAAAAACCTCCGTTTGTAACGACGCCACTCTCTCTTTCTTCCCTCTAACCCCCCCTTCCCCGGCCTGGAACATTGTTCTTAGGTTCCCCCTGACCAGAATGTGAAGGTGCGTTTCCACAATTTCTTCCTTGCGGAGCCCGGTGTCCCAGTGAGTTCCTGCACCAAGGACTACATGGAAGTCAACAATGCAAAGTAAGGCTCTGTTTGGAAACTTCAAGTGATCACAATCTTGAGACGTTGGGATGAAAATATTGTGATAGGGCTGGGGCTGTCGTTGGTTGCCTGTAATCGGGTGACCGGCTGAGGCGATCTTTTTGAGATTTTAAAAACTTCAGTTTTTTGTTTATTCACTTCATTTGTAACCCGCCTTTCTCCTGTGAGGGAACCCAAAGCAGCTTACATTGTTCTCCTCTCCGACAGTCTTTCCTCACAACAACCTTGAGAGGTACAGTAGGCTGAAATTGTGTGACGGGCCAAGAGTCACCCAGCAAGCTTCCGTGGCCGAGTGGGTACTCAAACTTGGCTCTCCCAGATCCTAGCTTTGCACTTTAATCACTAACAAACTGTAGTGTGGTTTCCTCTGATTTGGGAATATTTGTGATTGACTGAAGTGGTTCCTCTTTTGAAGACTATAACACTTCAGGCTCTTAAAAAAAATAATCTATCATTAAATTTGGGAAAGAACGCTATTACGTAACACCGTGATGACATATTTCTCGATTCCTGTTTCACATATCTTTACCACCCAGTTTGAAAATACAGTAGTTCAGTGTTTCAAAGAAACTTTGTTGGAGACGTTTTGGCTGGAACAAGAGGCACGTCTGTAGGCCGCCTCCACAAAGGCATTGAGTCATGGGGTCTTGAGAGTGGTGTATCTCCCCTTCAGGGGTCCTAAGAGCCACCACAGGCTCCAGACAAACAAACCCTCTT